CAAGAATTGTGTTAATATATATTGATCTTTTTCACCCAAGAGCACCAAAACCCACTCTGCTAGCAGGGACCCAATTAGATAAATGTACCGTACATTTCTTGTTTTCGGAATCACTCTCATTAAGTAAAGAAGCCTCCAAATCATACACAGAAGCTCTTTCCTATTAGTTCCTTGCCTCCTAATCATTTGCAACAATCACACAAAAGGGGCAGAATTTTGCCTAAAGATTCGCAAAGCAAAAGGGCAGATTTTTAAAGTCCCAATAATTTTTACTAGACAAGTTGGTTTTGCCATCTAGAGATCATCCAAAAAAAAATGGTTACCCTTTCAAAGTGGCTTATTTGGACAATATAAGTAATTTCTCTCCCAGTGTATCTTACACAATAATTTTGCAAAGTAATTAGACTAGGAGATAGTAACTGGGTTCACTGATTTATTCATCGATCCTGAGTTGAATTGAGTATAAATTTGAACCTAGCCCTCCGCAAACTAAAGCAATAGCTTCCATGGCATCATTTTAGCAACCACAAAAATATGGCTTTTTGTGGTTGCTAAAATATAAAGTATTTCAAATTCATGTTGGAAAAGTGAACAAATGAAGGGTCATTTTATCATGCCTGGTAGATTTGTAAAAATCCCAGAAAAACTGTGTCAAAATATACAATGATAGCATTTTAAAAATCAGCATTCATCTGAAACCATAACTTTTCATGTTGGGATTAATGGACAGTCAGTTAGAAAAGAGCCATGGAAGATTATTTTTAAACACAAGTACTGCAAGAGTACTACTATAATTATATGCACAAAAATGAAGTCTCTGAAATACCCCAAACAGAGGAATGGTTGGTTAAAATGACAGAACTAGCAGAAATGGCAAAATTAATTTGATTAGTGAAAGATCAACAAATATTAGCGATTGGAAACCTCTATGGCCTTTTTGCTTAAAAAATGGGGAAAAGAGGAGGGATTTATGGGTTTGAAGATTAAAAGTAGTTTATGAAAAGAAGAAAAATGTGATGTAATCTTAGAGGGGGTAAAACATAATTGCTGCCACAAGGAAATCAGAAGCCAATTCTTTATAATCTTCCTTTTCTCACTACTTTTCTTTATTCTATATTCTCTTACAGCTTTTACTTTAACATTTATCTACCATTGATCACCTCCAGCTCATGGCTCAAAACATTCAAATACATCACTAATTTGCTACAAGCCACGCTGAACAGAACTGCAATATCTCAGCCACTAGTCATGATATCCACACTTGTATACAGACAAACTGAAGAAAAAAATATCACAAGTAACAAGAAATAACAGGACAATGATACCACCAAGAGAATCATATAGCAGTAAATCCAGATATCTACTTGTCCCTACGATACTAACACCAACATGTTGTCCATAAACAACATCTTTTTCTAATATGATTTACCAGCAATACTATTCTGGGTTCTACACAAGATGATCTGACATCAGGACTAAAAACAAGGAGAAATAACAAAATATTTGACCTTCCAGGATATTGTAATATAGATAGCAAAATAACAATTCTGGGACCAAGTGGCTTTTTCATCAAGCCTAAAACTTGATGAGAGTTAAATCTCTCAGAAGGCCTGAACAAACCCATTAGAGGGATTAACTAACTGATAAGGTATTTAGGAGCTTTGTCACATGATCTTCATTTGCTTAACTACCCTGTCCTTCCCTCCCCCCCCCATCTTTTCCCAATGTATTTACATTCTACACATTATGTAATTAAGCTACCCGATCACAAAGTTTATGCCTTAGACTCAGAGCCTTAAAGAAATGCTATCAGAATCTTTTTGGGGAGTGAAAATTATTGTGAGTGGCAACTATTGTATCTTTTTTAACACTTCCTGACTTTTTAGTTACCAAGTCTTTTCCTTCCACCTGTATTCGTATATCACATTTAGAAACATTATGCCATATTACATCACATCACCTTCTTGATCCAACTGAAATAAGTAGAATTTCCCTCTATAAATACTCCAGATATTAGCATCCTAACATGTGTCTCTTAGGGTTTAGCCCCCTGGTTATATATCTTATCTTTGGGAAACCTTTGCTGCAGATACATACATACATACATACATACATACACACATACACACACACACACACACACACACACTTTTTATTATACCAAAGAAACATTTTTAGAACTTCAAGCAATTAAATTCTTAGTACTTTTTAATATGCAGATGGGAGTAAGAATTACAGGCTCCTCTATGGGATAAAAAGCAGACCCAGCATAAAATTGGGATACAATTTTAAAAAAATTCAACCTGTTGCTAACTAGATCTCTAGATCCTCTCCCACCTCCCCACCCCCCCAAAAAACCACTTTTTGCCCCACTCAGGAATTCACCGTTCCTCCTTATTGCTGGGACTGACCAAGTTTTCGATCAACCGGAGTCAGTCCGTTCCTGTGTTCGCGTTGAGAATGGGAAGATGGGATTAAAAATGCCACCCGGAGGTCAAATGGGCAAATCCCCGCTCCTTCTTCGATTTAGAATCAGTGTTTCTCAACCTTGGCCACTTGAAGATGTCCGGACTTCAACTCCCAGAATTCCCTTCTTCGATTTAGATCAGTGTTTCTCAACCTTGGCCACTTGAAGATGTCCGGACTTCAACTCCCAGAATTCCCTTCGATTTAGATCAGTGTTTCTCAACCTTGGCCACTTGAAGATGTCCGGACTTCAACTCCCAGAATTCCCTTCTTCGATTTAGATCAGTGTTTCTCAACCTTGGCCACTTGAAGATGTCCGGACTTCAACTCCCAGAATTCCCTTCTTCGATTTAGATCAGTGTTTCTCAACCTT